AGCCTCGGGTTCCTCATTTATAAAGTGCCATAATTAAAAGTATTATAACTTCCTAGCAGGTTTTTCTTAAGACTGGGAGTGATGATGTGTATGAAAGTAACCCATAAATTGTTGAGTACAAGCAAAGAAGACAAGCTAATATGATTCAAACTCTGGTAGTAGCTCCCTATCAGGAAGTCAAATCAGACTCTTAAGCCCGACAGCAAGGGTCTGCAAACTGTGACCTGCAGGCCAAATTTGGTCTAGTTCCTATTTTTGTATAGCCTGTGACCTAAGAATGGCTTTTACATTTTTAAGTAGATTAAAAAAATCTGAAGAAGAATAATATTTTGAGACATGTGAAAACCATAAGAAATTAAAATTTCAATGTCCACATAGAGTTTTATTGGAACCCAGCCACACTTACTGGTTGACATATTGTGTTTAGCTGCCTTTGTACTATAATAGCAGAGGTGGGAGTGGCAACAGAGATTACAAAGGCTACAAAATGTAAAATATTTACCATCTGGCCTTTTATAGAAAAAGCTTACTGACCCTTGCTCTAGAATTAAGGAGGGGGACATCTTTTATTTCATTTGATCAAATATCTTTAGTGTAAGCTCTAGGCAGCTGACTCACATTCTTATCTCTGTGCTGGCCTGATATGGAAAGTAGGCATTTAGTTGATCCCGTGGCTAATTGCCTTTTCTTGGAAAGGCATCTGAGAAGTCACTGAGGGGAGTTATAGGTTCACATATTGAGATAAAGATTGGGCTTTGGCTACAACCCAGAATCCAGAGCAACCATCCTGAGTTAGCAGAGTAGCACTTTGGGAAAGCAACCATCCTCCTGTTCTGTATTGCAATAACATGAACACAATCACAATTAAGCAGCTCATACCCAGTGTTCTGATTATCAGGTAAAGTTGGTCCACATCTGATTTCCCAGGCCAGAGTGGTTGGCCTGTCAGGAGCTCTGCAAAAACGCAACCGGTGGCCCATATGTCGATGGAAGAGCCATACTGAGTGTCTCCCACGAGAAGCTCGGGAGCTCGGTACCATCTTGTCGCAACATAATCGGTGTAGGCATCTCCTGGAACTGCAAACGCGTCAGTCAGATCAGGTGAGGCATATTCTCCCCACAAATGAACTTGGGAACTGCTCACCAGACCAGGTCAGGAATTCAGGCCCGCTTCAAAACCGTCAGAGGTCGTGAGACTCCTGACAGTCAACGCAGTGAGGCAGCAATTAGTAAACAGTGATGCGGTGCAT